GTAGTAGTAGTAGTAGTAGTAGTAGTAGTAGTAGTAGTAGAAGTAGTAGTAGAAGTAGTAGTTAGTGGTAGTAGTAGTAGTAGTAGTAGTAGTAGTAGTAGTAGTAGTAGTAGTAGTAGTAGTAGTAGTAGTAGTAGTAGTAGTAGTAATAGTAGTAGTAGTAGTAGTAGTAGTAGTAGTAGTAGTAGGAGTCGTCGTCGTCGTCGTCGTCGTCGTCGTAGTAGTAGTAGTAGTAGAAGTAGTAATTCTTGTTGTTGTTGGTGTTGTTGTTGTTGTTTGCCCTTTGCTGTTTGTATTTTGTTATTTGTTGTTTGCTGCTGCAGCTGCTGTTTTTGTGGTTGTTGTTGATGTTGTTGTTGTTGTTGTTGTTGTTGTTGTTGTTGTTCTTGTTGTTGAACCTTAAGTGCGAAACGATTGTAAATTGTTAGACGCCCTGAATGCGCTTTCGCCATCTCGCCGCGGCGCCGGCTGCATTTCCTTTGAAAAGTAGGCTCACTTTCAAGCGTTCCTGGGTGCCGCCCAAACTGGCGGCCCCCCCAACAACAACCACGCTCTGGCTCGATACTCCCTACTTTCTCACTCGGGGCTGGGGCTCTTGCTCGCTGCCCAAAGCCGCCTTTCCAACAACATCGGCGCCCCCGCTCGATATTTCTTCGCTTTTCACCGCAGGACCGGCGCTCCCGCCTTAGGGCCACTTACAAACAACGACGGCTCCGCTCGGTACTTCCTCCGCTTTTACTCAAGATTCCCAGGAGGCCCTGAGGCTTCCCTAGTCCCTTGGACACCCTGAAATCGCTTTCGCGCTCTCGTGCCTGTTCCGCGCGACCTCGCTCTCGCTCGTGTCCTGGGGCGTGGCTCCGTGACCCCGCAGGAGGCACTTGCACGCCCCCTCCGGAGCCTGGCCGGGTGCATCCGGAGCCCCAGGAGGGGGAAGACAGCCCAGAGGGAGATACAATTTTTTTTGCGTCGGCGGCTAGGCAGAGGGACTGCGCTGGCGAGTAAAGCGAAACGGGGCGCGTTAGGCGAATTCAGCCACCGTGCAGGAGGGAGGGGGGAAGGGCGAGGGAGAAAAACACACAGACGCAAAGAATCGCCGACTCCTAGGAAGACATGTGGGACAAGTACGGGAAGTGAAGGGGAGGACGGGCCTCCAGGAGATCTATGGGAACATGTGGGGAACCCTGGGAGTTGTGTCTACCTGTTTGTGTGTGGGTGGTTCCTCGACTTGCTGCACTCGTTCTGGTGCCCGCACTGGGCATCGCCGCCGCTGGTGTCCTGGCGCAGCAGCCGCCTCAATCCATGCCGGCGGGGCCGGCCGCGCCCGCCGCCAGCCGCTCTGCGCGTGACTCGCCCCCCTGTGCGGCCCTCCCCCCTGTTTTCCTCCCTCCCCGCGGCCGCCCGCTTTTCCGCCTTTCGCTCCTCTTGCACGGCGGCCACTTCGCTACAACGGTGCCCCCGTGTAGTGAGCTTCATGCACCAGCGCGGACGACCCCTGCCTAGCCGCTGACGAACACAGTTTGTGTGTGTGTGTGTGTCCCTGGGCCCCCGCATGTGCAGGCTCTCCTGGCCTCGGCCAGCAGGGCGTGTGCACCACTCCGGGGCCCTTGGCGGCCCTGGCCCCCAGAGGTCCCGACCGCTTCCCCGGGGGCCTCGCCACGGGGAAGCGGGTCCCGAGGGAAATGGGTCCTGAGGTTTTTTTCGCCGTTTTTGGCTTCACCGGGTCCTCCACGGGTCCCGGGGCGGTCAGAAAGCGACTCGGGACAGAGGTCTCGTCCCGGGGGACGGCCCCAGGGTCCAGGACCCGTTTCCCTCAGGAGCCGTTTCCCCCATGCTCAGGGTCATTTTTCGTTACTCGGCGGCGAGCCTGGGGGGGAAGTGAGAAGGAGCGGAGGAGGAGGAAGAGGAGGAGGAGGAGGAGGAGGAGGAGGCGGAGGCGGAGGCGAAGGAGGAGGAGGAGGCGGAGGAGGAGGCGGAGGAGGAGGCGGAGGAGGAGGAAGAGGAGGAGGAGGAAGAGGTGAGGAGGAGGAGGAGGAGGAGGAGGAGGAGGAGGGAGGAGGAGGAGGAGGAGGAGGAGGAGGAGGAGGAGGAGGAGGAGGAGGCCCCTCTTGGACGCCCCCCTCTCGGACGCCCCCGATTGGCCCCGTCGGGCCCTGGCGAGCGAGGGCGCCCCTGGGGGGCCCGCCCTCGGGCCCGCCAGCCAGGCGAGTTTGTCGAGACCTTCGAGTGGGCGCTCAAGGGCAGCGCCGCCCCGGTGGCCCTGTGCTTCCGGGGCGTGTCGGTGCAGCCCTCCTTCGAGTTCGACGTGGAGAGGCCCCCGCCGGCCCTAGGAGAGCCGGCGCGGGGGAGAGCCGAAGGGCAGCACAGCACCTCCCGTCTTTTGGGGCGTCGCGTTTCATTGGGGGGGCGATCAAAGGGGGGGGGCAGCGAGGGCTGCAGAAAAGGGGCCCTTGAGGGCCCCTGAAAGGAGCCCTGTAGGGCCCAAAAATGGGAATTTTGGGCC